GAGAAACATCAGTACTCGGTCGGAATTGGGTCCGGCAGTTTGTCGGGATGATCGAGATCGCGGATAGCTCGCGAATAACGTAGTGACTCTTGGCCAATTAGCGGAGCGGGAGGAGACGGGGCGGAGGGACTGCCTTTTCCTCGTAGCCAGCGCTTTTCTCGAGACCGTGAGCACGGTTTCAGAAGCGTGTCACGCTTCGCGGGAGACGAGAGCTGGGGAACGGCGCGGCCGGGCTTCGCTCTAGCGTTGAATCGATCTACGGACTATTCGATAATAGCGACGCGTACAGATTAAAACGGACCAGGTCAACAGGCTTCAACGTATGCGACGGAGAACGGAGGAGATTTCGAAGGAGCCGCGACGAGATCAACGGCGATACAGCGAGTGGACGCGCTGCGGGCAACGAAGGAGGCAAAAAATTGATAAAGGAGAGCCATGCGCACACATGCGCACTTATAAATACGTACGTATATATGCACGCGTCTTTCTCATCGCGCGTGCAATTTTGCGGGTTTTCGGCAAACCCGATTTTTTTCCGCGAGCATCTCCGGGGAAGAAGGATACAGGTCGTAATGGCGGGCCTGAATCGCCACGCCTGTAGGAGACTGACAAGAATTATTAGTGGGTGAAGGTAGCCAGTAGCTGAGCCGAGGATCAATACTAGGCAGACGTCCGTGCGGTGTGGTGGAGTGCACTTCTACACGGCTCTAGGCTAGGCTAGAGCTAGGAAAGGTTGGGGCGGCGAGAGAGCTCGGGTAAGGTTGGATCGTGGGACGTCTACTACGTAGACTCCCCGGTCACCATAAACCAAGCCGGCTGACTTGACAGTGCCGCCATGGGGGTTCCCGGTATAAGAAGAGGAAGAGAAAAAAAAAAGAAGCGCGGTACGCTCGGTTAGCCGTGCACACCGCCATCGCCGCTGACGCCGCCGATCCACGGCGTTCGATTTTCACCTCCGAGCAGATAGAAGGGAGACGGGAAGGAAGGAACCCGAATTCGCCTCGAGCGTAATTTCCGATTACGCGTAACGCGCGCAAGCGCGCTTCAGCGGTCTTCCGCGAGAGTTGCGTTTTGGGAAATTTCTTCGGATTACGCGGCTTCGACCGCTGGGCGTCTCGAGTTTCCTCGTATCTACGCGGATTCGTGGGTCCTGATATTTTATTTTAAATAATTGTAATAACAACGATGATGATGATGAGACAGAAAACCCTTATTGAATATAGAAGCAAAAATATTGAAAATGATGTTTCAAGTCAATTATAATTCCAAGAGAACGTACTCACAAAATCTCTGGCTCGCTTCTTTCCGGGATGAAATTCATAATCAGCGAATCTCGCTCTCAAGTTGAAATTTCTGTCCTGTGTTAAATTTTTCATTCTCTGACGCAGTAGAAGCTTAGATATAATCAAAATAAGTTCGCACACATATACGCGCGCACAACCATAATTGTAATAATATAATTTATAATGTCTTAAATTTTCGTCTTTGCTACTTTCAGCGTCGAAATAAGTTATTCTACACTAGCATTTAAGATTAAATCTGTAGAATTAAAGGTTCAAGAGAGAAGTTGACAAGCGTAGTGTCATCAAAGTAGGTTTTTATTATTCTATAGCCCATCAAAATAAGTACAAATTATCCTTAAAGAGATCGTAAGGTTCAGTATCGTATTTTCAATAGTGTATTAAGGGAGCCATTTATAAAGTTAGTATTTGTCAAGCAAAATTACGTCCTTATACATTAATTTCACTATTCAAATAATAAATGTTATTTGAAACAAAGTTAAGGTAAACATATACATACGTATAATATTACGAAAAATATTATTTTTTATTTTTCTTATTAATACTATATTTATACATTAATTAATCTGATAGAAATGCACAGATAATAGAAAGAGACATATAAGTGTTTAGATATGTTACGTATTTCGAATATTAATACTATTAACAATAAACTTTATACCATTATAGTTTAGTAATAGTTTTTCATCAAAATATTATTTTTAGTTTACAAGATATTAAAAATAGAAATTAAAAATAACATGCTAATCTCTCAAGGAACACATGTAAAAAGTGTCAAAAAGTGTCAAGTTTCGTTGCAAATATTTCAGTTCTCGAATAGTCAATCTCTTTTAACTGCCAAAAGACAAAGGTTTTGATATTTCAGTACATATGCAGTGCAAGTTTCATCGAATTCTTATAAAATCCATCTCATCTTACAACCCCTTTAAGAGCATGAAAGTAATTACGACTCGACTTACTTCGTGTGGGCGCGGGGTCACATTGGCGATACATTACACCCGCGAACGAGAACGAAATATACCGGCTTACTTGGAACGCGCAGGCACGCGTTTAACTTCTGCGTTCGCCGTGAAGTATTCTTACGTAACGGCGGCAGTCGACGCGGCATAACCGCGAGCCGAGGGCGCGATTTTTTCTTCGCGCTTCCGTAGAGCGACCGAGGCTAACGCGATCTCACCGTGCGAATTAGCGGCGGAAGGCCGTGCGTTCACGATCGATGCATTTTATGATCGGCGGCGGCAACGGCAGCGGTGGCGGACACGCGGCGAGGCAACAAAAATAATCCGCCGCAGAGCGCGCGTTGCAAGAAGTTGCGAAAACTAGTTAAACCGCTTCAAGGTCGGGACCGTGAAACTCGTCCAATTCGCGGTGCAATTCCGCGCACACATCCTTCGCTCGACTAACCACGGCGCGAGGCAGATAAGGCGTGGGGAACTATCGAAATTTTATGATACTTCCGGACTGGTCGTTCCGGTATTCGCGACTCGAAATACCCGTTGTCGCGGCAACGTAACGGCCGGTGACGCACTGTTACGGCGATTCACCGCGCGTCCTGACGCGGATAGAGTGTTTCAAGTAAGAATCTGGACATGTTCAGCATTTTGTTAAAAAATGCCGTCTAGTTTGTCACCGGAAGTTCTATGAAGGGTGTCTCAATATATCGAGTTGACGCCTAAAAGAAAATTCTATTCGCGGTACAAAATAATTGAGGAACAGCAAATAAATAAATACACAAGATGTTTCTTAAGTACTGTCCGATATTTTAGAGGTTGAGTTTTAGGATATTTTATGAAGAACACTTTTCTTTATATAAATAACTTCAAAAATCCACTATTAAAATATTGAATGGTACTTAAGAAACACCCTGTATATTTATTATATACTTATTTGCTACGACAGCAATTAACATTTGCTTCTTCTCTAAATTATTTTTCCCTGTATTAATGTTTTGTGTGTGGTATCATTAGAATTAGAACAAAAATACAATTGTTGTAAAATATACGGCAGTTTTGCCAACAAATTCTGAAAAGCGGGCATTATAAATTTCGCTTATTAATGTATCAAATTTTGGACCTAAGGAATATCATTGCATATGTAAGTTATGAATTATTTTTTATTTTTGATGATTCTTTTGTAGAATTTTTAACAGCCAATGAATACTTCCACTCTTCCAATGCACAGTTTTCTAAGAATATACAGATATGTGTGCGTGCGTGCGTGCGTGTGTGCGTGCGTGCGTGTGTATATGTTTGATTCATCTTATTATATATAATTTATTTATAAGTAGATTTTTAATTTCTGAAAAATTAATTCTTTCTATATCTCCCATTAGAATAACGATTTATTCTAGATAGAGTACCTTTATGTAACGAGTAAGAAGTCGAGAATATCCAGATTCTTACTTGGAGGACTCTACACTCGACAGATTCGACGCGACCTCGTTTTGTAACGCGAGTAATGCGTATACGAAGGCAGCCGATTTCAGGAAAAACCGCATGGAAAAGAAGGATTCATTTGGGCGCGCGAATTAACGTTATCGAATGTACCTATTTCAATACGAGATGTAATTAGAAGATACCTGGAACCGTCATCACCGTATGTGTACGTCGGGGGGAAGCGCATACGCGTGGATACGAGAGACCGTTCGAACATATATCGCAGAAGATCCCGGCGTGACGCAGCAGCGGCTAATTTCCGGGCGGCGCATCTTGGCGGAAGCGAGTTGCGTGAGTGCGAGATTGGATGCGTTGCCGGGGATATCGCGTTCACCGACCGAGAGATTTCAGAGAATTCCGACTTTTCACGCGACCGATCGCAAGACTGCCGCCGTAGATCAAGCAACTTGGAAAACTCATCCGGTACGAACGAACACAGCGGAACCGTGTCTATTTTCCTCGTCAACGCGAGAGAAAGAGGCGTCTCCAATTTAGCGTCTCGGAATTGGCAAGCGAAAGAAAGAGCTCAGGTGAAACCTGGAGGAAACCGCATACACCCATGGACAAAGAATCTTCTCCTACTGGATCCAATGGAGCAAATCCAAAAGACGTACATCCATTCTAACCTGTTCTAACTAGAAGAATGTTCACATGCGAAGACGGTAGACTCAAACTATTAAAAATCGGAATTTGAGCAACTCAGATAACGTAAGCGAAGATCAAAACTACACGTTTCATCGAATTCTGATTTCTAATTCGCAATCCTTAAGTTGCGTTTGGTGAGCGCTATCAGCACTATTGCATCAGTTTCTCTTTATCGCCCACCAGATGTAAAAAAAAAAAAGATGGAAGACACAACAGCGCTGATAGCATGTTCCCCGAATACAGCTTTAATCTCCAACACTAGCTTTACACAATGATTCTTTCGGACAGAACAGGATAAACATCTTTTGGACATGCTCCATCTAGAAGTGGACGAATCATCGTACGTGGGTGTGTGTGATGTGCACCGAAATCTTCCGGAAACTTACCCCGCATTGTAAACCTCGCGCAACCGACGCAGTGTCGGCGGACGTGAGCGTCTCGGCGCGTCACGCTGCGCCGGCTGCGTACGGACGAACAAGCACGCGCACACACACACACATACGCTCGCGCAAATGCTGATGATCATTCACGCCACTGACCTACTCTGTGCCACAAGCTTCACCCTCCGACGCGACGGCTGGGGTAACGAGGTGGAGAGAAAGAGAGAGAGAGAGAGAGAGAGAGTGGGAGGACAAAACGCAGCCCACAGACTGGGGAGCAAGCGAGACGCTGTGCGTAGACGAACGGCAAGCGAAGGATAGAGAAAGGTGAGAAAGAAGGGAAGAGAGAGAGAGAGAGAGAAGATAGGAGAAGAGAGGAGAGGAAAGGAGGGTCCGCTGTCTGGTCGGTGGGTCTGGGCCTGCGTAACGACGCGTGCACGTCGACGGTACGACGACGGTCGAGGGTTGAGGGCTTCGTGCGAGTCACAGGGTGGTGCGGCGGGAGGAGGACGGCAAGGGTGACCGGGGGATGACGGGCGGGTGGGTGGAGGAGCGTAGTGCAGGGCACGAAAGGAGGAGGCGAGTTGCAAGGGGTGCAAGTCGGCTGTAGTAGTTGAAGGGGCGAACGAAGGGGAAGGGTGAAAGCCGACCGAGGGGCGGCAGGGAATACGGAAGGCTACGATTGATCCGTGGTCGCCCTCCATCCTTCTCATCCTTCTCCGTCCTTCTTCTTCTCCTCCTCCTCCCACCTCTCTTGCCCCTTGTCCCTTCCGCGCCCTTTCGTCCTCGGTGCTCTTCTCCTCTTCCTCCTCCTCGCCCTCGTCCTTCTCCTGCTAGCTCTACGTCGCGACCTCACGAATTCATTGTGCGCTTCCGGCTCTCGTCCTTTTTCTCTCGGCGGCCATTAGCTGTCCGTTCGGGTCGCCTCTTATTAGCATAGTTGCAAATTCTATGCCACGATGCCCGGCGACGGTGGCCTCCTCTTAACGCTTGATTGGAGGTCGACACGACGCTTTGCGCCGCACCAGGTACATGCACGCGTCGCTTAGAGACTGGACGGGAACGAAGGAATGCCGAGGAGGGATTCTCGGTTGAGTGCATCACCGAACTTCCCGATTTCCGAATCTCAGATCGACGCGCTTCCGCTTCTTTTTGCTCGTCTTCCCTTCGTTCTCTGCGGAAGACCCTTTCCGATCGATTAATAACCTCCTCCACGACGGAGGCTCTTCCACAATTTCGTCCGCGATCGATCACCCATGTCGTTACGTCGCTCGAACGGATGCGACAATGTTTTACTCTCCGAATTAATCTCGACGGCTCGTTTAGAGGTTCAAACCTGCGCGATAAAGGACACATAAAAGATATCACACGTCTATTTTGAGTCGCAGTTTGTGAATCATAAATTGCAACATACGCAAATTTCACTTGTAATTAACCGTCCATTGAAAAATAGTTTGGTTGAATTTGCCTGACAGTGAACAAACCGAATGCGTTTTTGTTGGAGGAAACCAAATTTTCGGTTCTTATGGACCATTCGGCTAATTCGGCTGTTATAATCAGAAATTCTGTTTCCTTCGACCAAGACGCGTTTCATTTCTGTTTTTTTCTTTTTGCCAGATAACCTCAAACAAGCTTTCTTCTCCATATCCAATTTTTCGTGCCATTTGTGACGGTAACAGTTCTTCGCATTTTCAGCAAATCCTGGAGCATCGATTCGACTCGAAACCTCGATGAAGCACGCGTAAAAAGCAAGAAGAAAACGTGCACGAAGGAAAAGGATTGGTTGAATTAATGTTGAGCAATAAACAAACCACATGTGTTTTGATCGAAGGGAACAGGATTTCAGGCTTCAAAATTTAAATTTGATTCGCGTAAGAGGCAGAAATTCGATTTTCCTCAACCAAAACGCATTTAGTTCGCTCATTGTCAATTTCATCAATCGTCACCCACTTTGAGAGAGCTGCTTCGCTCACACGCAAAGCTCTCCGATCCGAAGATCGCGGTGACTCGTAACGATTTCTTCGCGGATATTAACGACGTTACACGAGCGCGTGAAACGCGACGGGTTCGCACTCGAATTTGACCGCGTAATTAATATTCCGTTCGGCGTCGCTGATTGATGATATCGCGTTTATCGAGCGAATGCGACGAACGCGCGCAGCGTTGGCGGCGGCAGCAAGGTCCGATTATCTGTCGCATTAAAAAACGTTTTCGGCGCCCGCGCGCATTCATTCGGGTGTTACATTTCGATAAATGGAACTTAACAATCGGTCGTAGAAATTGGCGCGGAACGGCCGCGTGTGACGTGTTAACGCTGCATGTGTGCGTGCATGCGTGCGCGCGTGTGTGTACACGCACGAATGCCGAGGTCGCCCGACTCGAGCCCCTCCTCCCGCCATCCACCCCGCCGTCCATCTACCGTAAACAGAATTATACAATACCGAACGCGCTACCATTAATTAGCGTGACTTCGTGTCGACGCACGCGCGCGCTTTTATTTCAGCCGTACTGACAAAATGTTTTTGCACCCCCGAAACAAATTGCGGACTTTTAATTGAGATCCATCGCGCCGATGATTCGGCTTGCTCGAAAACACTTCGCGCGCCACCCCGAGCCGGATTTCCGCTCTGGAAACGTATTTTCGTAATAATATTTCCCGATAAGCAAACGATAGACGCAATGACTTTTTTCTCTCCGATCTCGCTTATTCGTCTTCCTCTACTTCCTTACTTTTTTAGTTTGCCCAGATTAATACGAATGATATAATACGGTCACGCGCGATTCGGAGGCGTCGAGAAGAGTCGAACACGACGTGAAAAATTTCGCGCGACAATATCGAACGGTGCTCGGACGTTAGCTCGGTAATAACGATAAGGACGATCTTGCGCTACTTTCGGGGAACCCGCGGCATTCCACCGCGGCAGAGGGGGGAGAGGGTGGAAAAATGCGACGGGGATTGCGGCTCGTAACGAGTTCGCCTCGCCGATGCGTAGTACCGAGAAAAAAGAAACGTTTTATACACGGCGAGATGTATTACTTATGTATATAGCGTGTCGAGCTCTGATTACACGGCTTGTAAAGCGGAAAAGTTCCCGCTGTTTCTTGAAATCCAGTATCGATCGAGCGCATCGAAACGCTACCACGCGACGAAAAAACTTGGAACACGACCGGCTCGGCCGAGGCGATCGCCACTGTATACTTTGTAGCGTAATGAAAGACGCGAACACGCACAGGAATAATCGGTTACACCAGCGCGGTTGCGTTCCATGAAGCGGCTATCATTGACAGTATAATGAATATCGTTACGCAATACGTCAATTATTATCGCATAAGATAATTTGTGACGATCGAGAAAAATGACGTATTACCGTCGCACGTCAGCGCGACCGTCAGACAGGCGTATTCTCTTCTCTTACGAATCCTCCGTGATCTTAGAAAAGGTATGTCACATTTCAGACATCGACAATGTAACATATTTCTCGTCGTTCAATTCAAATAATCGCACCGATTTTATACACGTTAGAGTAATTTTTAATGAACCAAAGTAAAAACAGTTTGGTTTATCTTATCTTTTTTTTCATTTCCTTGAGGATCCCTCACGCCTAGAAAAGGTCTGTCAAATTTTTTAAGTCGTCTACGTAACATCTTTCTCGTCATTCAATTCAAATGGTTTCATATCGATCTTATATATGTCAGAATAATTTTTAACGAGCCAAAAAAAGGCTTTTCTTCATTTTCTCATTTCTTCTTTTTCATTCATTCATTCATTTTTCACTTTCCTTTTTTATTTTGTTTTTCAAATCTTCCGCGCCTAGGAAAGGGCTGTCAAAATTTAAATAAATCGACAACGTAATGCATTTCTTGTCGCTTAATTCAGATAATCGCATCGATTTTATATAAGTTGCAATAATTTTTGTAACGTATCGACCGATTCGGCTTTTCCTCTTTTTCTTTCCTTCTGAAGATCTGTGCCTAAAAATGTCTGTCAAATTTTAGCATTTGTCAAGGTAATATCTTTATCTTCGTTCAAATCAGACGATTGCATTGATTATACGTTAGAATAATTCATTATCGAGCCAAACAACCTAGCCGCGTTGCTTCGAACTCTTTATCGCAAACCGGTTGCGATTATATTTCTTCTTTTGAATAAAACAGCAACGCCCGGAATAAAATTTCTCCGAAAGCGAAGGAATGTAATATTTTAAATGCGTAAATACTATTTTCGCGCTGCGCGTTCCTGCTCATTTCAACGCACGCCGCGTTTATTCGACTGAACGTGCACTCGACTCATTATGTTCCTCGTTACATTTTTACATTGTCAAATTACAAAGCGATCCTCGGACGATTACTCGATTCGAAATCGAATTTACTCTCACCGCCGGTGAAGCTTTATTAAATGATATCGCCGCACACCACACGCGACGACAAAGCCGTCGTGCGCATTACCGAAGTAGCGCAAGCTGCTCGTTACGCAATCTCGAATCAAGCTTTTTCGATAGGTCATCTCAGATCCGCCAGATGAACATCGACCTTTTGATCCACATGACAACGAAATGTTCGAGACCTCCATACCCGAGCGTGTTTATATGATTTCTCTGGATTATTTTAAATGGCGCTTGCACTTAGTCTCCGAAAAAATCGATACATTTAGCGATACTTGCTCCGATATTTACTATGACGAATATGTATTAAATGTATATATACGGTTTTGTTTATTGCCGCCTTTTTTCTCGCAAGTGCTCGCACACACCGTGATAGATACTTGAGAGAGCACACAGGATTTCTGCGAAGTCGCGTGCCTCTCAGTCGCGGTTTTAGGTCGGCAAAGTCGCCGCTCCACAAGAGATAAGCGCACTGTCAATTTCCGATATATTTTTTCCTCTTCCCTCTTTTGATTATATTCCAAGTGAAGATATTATTGTAAAAAAATAGTCCACTCTCGCGAAGAAGAAGTTGTAACGATAGATAAATAGCTGAAAAATAAAACGTGGAGTTGAAAAGCGCCGGGACGGCGCCATTAGATCGTGACGTCATGATATATCATATACCGCGACCGAGCCAATGGTCGCGTTCAGCAGAACGAGACGCTTAGGAAGCGCTCAGCGATTCGAGAATCTGATTGGCGTGTATTTTTTAAGCCTCTTTACTATGATATATCACGGCTTCGTACGATCGACAACCATGTTTCCAAACACGTGACATTTTTCCAATTTTTCATGATACTTTATTAATTATTATTTAACACGTACCTATACATAGAGCATTCTCTGTAGCAGCATCGACACTTTTATTCTCTCAATTTGTGCACAGCGGAGAAGAGAATATATATTTTATTTTCACGAGTAATTCTATCCTTATTCTCTTACAAACAAAACATTGATCAAAGTCTCTGCATCGTAACTAGTTTTTCGTTTTCAATATCATATATATATCTCCGTATATTATCGTCTTATTAATTTGCGCAAACCTATACTTCAAGAATTTAAGATTACTGGCGTGAGACGGAAGGTCGGAGTAGGTCAAAGAAATCGACGGACTGGTTTTCCTCTCTCTCTCTCTTTCGCCATAATGAAAAAAATGCGCAGACATTTTTAAGCACTAATATCGCGAAAGCATATTAATTAAAAATGTAAAATGCAAAATCCATTTCCATAAGTAGACACCGTTGTCGTCAATTACGCACATTAACGTGGCCTCGGACGACGGTGTGACGCGAGGTATTTAATCCGTTACGAGACGCAACACATCGGTCGCGGATACGGTATCGGCGTATCAGCCTGCACGAATTCCAATTTTATCGCCACAATGCGGTCGCAATATCAATCCGGAGCATTATAAATAGGTTACCGGGGTATCCCTGAGGCTACCCCGCGGGCTCATTAAGGCGCGATCGATGCGATTCGAATCTCTTTCGACGCGAATCGTACGCAGTCACTGCTGCTGCTTGAGGAACAAACGCCTTCTCTCTCTCTCTCTCTCTCTCCCAGGCGAAGATCTTCTGATATATCGAATACTCCTCTCATCCGAGATTGGACGCGTAAACTACGCTAAGCTATCCGTTCGCGGTGATATAATCACGCGTTTTCTTCGCGGTCACGAGCGTGTCGTTGCGAGACATCAACGCACGCGTCAATACAACGCGTAAACGGCTCGTCGAGCGATATGCGGATACTTTTTATGAAAACGGCGAGATAAGGAATTTCCGCGTCGCGGCCGGCCGGGAGGCTAGCGAAGCTTATGAAATTCTGATTGGCGGTTGGGAAATTTTCCGAGCGAGGCCTAGCGGGCCATGATTCTGCCGCACAACCAGTCGCAAATGTTGGCTGTGCCTTTCTGACTCAGCTGAAACAACGTTACACGTAACACGTTCGTGTGGAAAAAATCGGAGGTTGGAATTGGGAAAGTGTATTTAGCGCTCATCGCTAGGCGTTGTGATAAGAACGCTCGCTGCGAGAATGTCCCGGATCTTTCGTGCAGATTTTTTTCCGCACGTTCGGCCGGCTAACCATTTCTTTATGGTGGCTTCGTTGTTGAAGTAATACTGTACTGACTGTTGCGACGATTGCACAAGTGAGGAGTCTTCACAATAAAGATACTTTTTTGGCACTTTTGTGTCACTCGAAATATTCACTTATGAGTTTTAGAAGCCTTTGTAATTTTTTATAATAATAATAATAATAAATTTGTTTTTTAATGAAATATACAGGATGGTAAATGTGTTCTAGGACGATTAAATACTTCGTAAACGATGTATTTTTAGAAAAAATTTTGTGTTACTGCTACCAAATAGACTTTGAAGTTTTGCAACTTTGGCGAGAAATATTTTTTCCCAAAAATGCATCGTATAGGAGATATTCAATCGTCCCGCAACTTTCGTACACGCACTGGGCTCAATTATCTTGAATACTTTCGGAAATGTCTGTCAAAAAAAAAATATTTTAGACAAACGTTGTTTATTTTTATGCCCTTTCCAAAAAGAAAAAAGTTTTTTATTTTTTATGCTCTTTCCAAAAAGATGTTACTCGACCGCCGTTGCTGTTTAAAATTTCTCATCAAGCTCTTGAATTCTTCCCAAGAGGGTAGCACGCTAGAATAACACCATCGAACGAGCCTCTTGTAACTTGACGATTTTCGCGGGAAATATTGTTTTCAGAAACCCATTGTTTACGAGATATTCAACCGGGGACATTTTCACCATCCCGTATACAGTTTAGTGCGTATTGCGATAAAAATACAGAATTATAGCAAGGATCGAAGAGGTCGATCGCAGCAATATCCTGGATGTCCTCGCGTCCCTGCGATGTTCCCATAGGCGAAAGCGCGGAAACGAATCGCGCGGCCGGTCACGCCGCCACGTGTAACCGTTTCAATCGCTCATTCGATTTCTTCTCCTCGCCGGTACGCATCGCAGCAACGTCGCTCGGTTATCGGATGCCGTCGCGTTCGCCGGGAAAATTCGATCTGTTCGCTCTCGCGCTCGGCCGCGCCGTCTCGAGATAACGACGCACACGCGTCGACGAGCGAAGCGTTGATGTATTCCGAGTATCAAGAGCGTGCAGTTCGCAAGAGCGAGAGAGAGAACGAGCGAGAGGCCGGCCGATGATTCAACGATTACGCTCGGTAATTGTCGCTGCGGGTGAGGAGATCCGACGACTGTGCGACCACGCTCTCGCGCTATCTCGGGGTTACCTAATAACGCGCGCGTGAGGATGGTACGTACTTTTGGGCGACGTCACGCGCTGTCCGATACGGCCGAGGCGGCTCGCGCACAAAGTAAAAATAAAACGCGAGACGGGCTCTCTCTGGCAGTTCCGTTCACGCAACGCGCGCGCGTTGCCGCGCGTTACCTAAGAACGCGTAGACGCGCAATTCGACGTAACCGACGCGACTGTAAAAACGGATAAAAAGAGGATACGAAGGATAGAAAGAGAGAGAGAGAGAGAGAGACGATAAACGCACGTGCAACGCCGGATCAACGATGTATACACACACGACGATGTCGGACACAGACGGACGATAATCGCGTTTGACACGCAGGAGCACAGGTGTCCGAAAGCAAGCCCGACATCGGCTAGCTGCCTCTCTTTCTCCCTCACTTTCATCCCCTCCCACCCCTCTCTTCCCATCTGGTTCCATTTATATATTTTATTTATTTATTTATTTCAGTACTTTTTTAGTATATTTTTAACACCTGTGACTCTGTTAGTCCTTCCATAATAACTTGGCTCTAAAACTACGGATATAATTGAACCAAATTGCAATGTCTCGTTATTATAATTATCATTATTATTGTTGTTGTTGTTGTTTTAATTATTGCCATTTTTTTCATCCCACATATCTTCTATGATACATACGAGATGATTTTTCATGATCTCTGTGTCTTTGTACGCTTCGTAGAGTTCGAGGGAAATCCTTCTCAGAGCGGCAAAAATAAATAATATTTTTTCCCCTCTATCTTCCTCCCTGTTGTCCTCTCTACTGCTTCTCCATATATTTTTAACTTGAAATCAAATTAATTGGTAATTGCGCGGCAGTAAATATTTTCGCTGGAAGACCCGTGACTATCCGCATCATTTATCCTCCCGAGTCTGAAAAATCTGCCCGTTGGTAGGAACTTTCGGCACATTTACGTTTTCTCGCGTCACCGGCGACATTACGTTTCAGCAATGGCACGCGGCAATTGTGGAAAATGCACAAAAGCGATAAATCATGAATGATGTTGACCATACCGCCGCTATGAAATTATTAATTATGAGTTGCGTGCGCGAGACCGGTAAATATCGACGTGTCGCACTGCACAGCGCCGATAGCCGGGCTTTCCTAAGGTTGAAACACTTAGATCGCGCATTCATAGTATCTGTGCATCGTCACGTGTAAATCGTCGATCCCCTTTGTAATTTGTGAATAATGACCACTCGATAGAGATCAAGCGGCAATTTTTTCTCGACGCGCCCGCCAAACAATGCACACGTGTCGATGCTTCGGCTATTCCCCGATCACTCCCACGGCAGGTATCGTTTTATCATATGATACATTATTTACATCGCATTTTCGCTACGTCGCAGATAGCAATAACCGCGTATTATTTATTTATCATTGTCCGGATGACCTAACATCGATTTCAATTAATACCCGAACGTCCTCGACGCGGCCGACCAACACGAAACTCTGCGAGTCGACGAATGCGGCTTGGAAAACAACGCTACTCTCGTCCTCGCATGCGTCGGTCAGCCGCACAATCCGCGTTACCTAAGAATCTATATAAAAGCGGAATGCATCGCTGGCGCCGCGATCGACAGGTACGCTCGTACTTCACGACGCCATCGAGCCTCAAATGTCGCTCGCAGTATTGCAGTTGCCGAATTTTACGCAGTTCGCACTGTAATTTCCCCGCACGGTCAAATCCATCTGAATTCCGACGGGTCGAAATTTCCACGCTACTCTGTTCCACAATAAGTCGGATACCAGCCGATGGTCCAAGGAGAGGAAACTCTTTATTTCTTGTAAACAAGTTTCTTATTGCAGCATCGGCTGCGTTCCGATAGCGACATAGGATTTATTGTATAACAGGCCTTAAGGATAATTTGCGCCTACGTATCTATAGCCGCCTATAGTCTAGTAAAAAGCTAATTCAACGATATTACGCTTATTAGCTTCGCTCTTGAACCTTCAAGTCTACAGATTTCACTTTAACGCCACCTTGAAATTATAAGTGCTCTCGATATTTGAATTGTTAAACTCATCTGAGTATTCGAGACTCCCGAATTTCACGTTGAAAACGATTCAAACATAAATTTAAGACATCATTACGATTACAATGTGAGTAAGTAATATCATTAGAACGAAACTTACTCAGGTATCCGAGCCCTGCCGCGTCATAGAACGAAAGATTTGACACAGGGCCGGGTTTTTCTACCTGGGGAGAACTGCAAGAGAGATCAACTTACCGTGTGTTTTCGGTCGAACGAGTTCACACGGGACACGTCACATCTCGAAAGCTATCGCAACGTCGGACACTCCAGAGGGAGCCGATCCGTCGTATCGTCGTCGGCCGGCCGAAAGGGCAGCGTGCGTGCGCGATCGAAAATAATAATTAGCTTCCTCGCGGCGTAAGACGTCAATGCGCGCGCGTGCGATACTTTTACGCCGTCCCCCTCGGTGCTCCCGTGCCGCTCGGAGCAGTGGCGAACAAGCGTTTTTTTGGTCCAACGACGCCTATGCCGCTACGAGAATCGCGAGATCCGCGAGGGAAACGTGCGCGGCGACGCGGCGTCGATGTGTGTACGTGCGCGCGCGCGATGTGTGCGTGACTTCCTATGTCGGCGGCGAATGTGTGCGGCTGGGCGCGCACGCGCGCACCGAGCCGCCTCTGTGTGCGGGAGAGCGCGCGCGTGCGTGTGTACGCGGCGGTGCGCGCGTGAGCGTTTCACACCTGACTACTACGCGAGTCGTACGAGCGACCGTCGCGACGTCGGAAGACGACGCTGTGCGCGCAGAAAAGCGCGAATATCGCCGAAAATCGCGTTAGGGAAGGCGCGGATTTATCGCGCGGCGCTCACGGCGCCCAGCCGCGCAGAATCGATTTATTTTGTCGGCACGGTCTGCGCGGCGAACACGGTAGGTTAGTTGACCGCGGGGCCGAGCGAGCGCTGAGCTGACAGTAGGCCGGCGACGTCACAGTGGGCCGGTTGAGCCTTCCTTCGTTCGATTCAGGCAGGCTCCTCTATTCGTTTTACATGTAGCAAGGTAAATATTTAGTCGCGGTGTTTCTCCGATTTCGAAAAGAAGTCGTGGCCCAGTGCGCGTGATACGTTTCTTCCCGTCGTCGTTGCCGTCGTCGTCGTCGATCGTCGTCGCGGGGGCGGACGACCGTTCCGTCCCGACGGTTTTTGTGACGCGTGCAGATCCCGTCGTGACGAACGTTTGATTTCGCGTCGACCGTCACCAACATCACGGGGAACAAGATAGTTAGTTAGAGAGAGAGAGAGAGAGAGAGAGTCCGAGTGCGTGTATTTTTGCCTATGGAGAGGAGGGTACGAGCAACATTTTCGCGCTCGTTCGTCGTACGTCGTTTGCCGATGTCTGCGTTACCACTCGCCGTGTCGTAAACCACCGCTGCCGCCGCTGCTCTGCCACTGACGTTTCGTCGTCGACCGCTGTCACCGCTGGCCGTCACGAGTCCGACGTTCGCGGCCGGACGGACCGACAAACGGACGCACGGACAAACCGAAAGATGGACGAGACAATGGGCGAAAGGGACAGACGGGTGCGGGAGAAAAATCGAGAGAAAGAGAGAGAGAGAGAGAGATAACAAGCCTCGCGAAAAGGCGCACTGGTGCGAGAAGGAAGACTCCTCGCGTCGCGCGAAAATGCGCTTTTCGCGAACGACGATCCGCTTTTCGGTCCATCCGCAACGTCTAACGCTGCGAATTCGCGCGCGCGAGAGAGCCGTGTGACGGAGCGCGAAGTGACGGAGAAGAAGAAGAAGAGGATCCTCTTCGTGGCATCCGTGTCTAACGCGTGCCTTTTCGGAGCGCACGCGGAGAACGGTCTCCGAGGGGACACGTGAAAACGCGCGCTCCTCTGACAGCTCGCACCGTGGCGCGCGACGCGTGCACGTCACGTTCGCGAACGTCTCTCTCTCTCTCTCTCTCGCACGCGCGCGTTTCCGGCAGCCGCAATATTATAAATCGAGACGGCGACCTTGCGCGGCCGGCAAAACTTTTTGGCAGCCGCTTTCGAATCTCGCGGCCAATCCCGCGGCGCCGTGACGTGCACACGCGTTCGAAATAGTTCGGCTTCCTAGCGGCGGAAGAGCCTAGCCAGAAAAACACACACACGGCGATAGCTAGATAGACGAGAGAGAGAGAGAGAGAGAGAGAGAGAAGGAAAAAGCAATCTCAGGGTGTACGCTTTTGGCACGGGACGCGTTCGCGCGTGCCGTGACGCTGCGCTACGCGATCCGACGCGGCGCGACACACGTGACAAGTGAACAGTGCAGCGAGCGACGACCACGAGGAGACCGTCGAGGAGGTGAACAACTCGGAAGCGCGCTCCCGTGGCTTCCGTCGTCGCGACGCTCGGCGGAGCGTCGGGCTTGACGACCGTCGCTCTTTTCATCGTGATGGGAGAGAGAAAGAAAAGGGGGAGAGAGAACGAACGCGCGCTGAGACACCGTCAGGTGGACGTGTCGGAAAAGTGCGACGGAGCACGAGCTCGCTCGTTCGCGTATACACGGACGTGTGTTGTTTGAGAAAGGGGCATGCCGCGAGAGTGCGTGTCCCGCCAATACGGCCGGACGAAAATACCTCACGTGCGTCGAGAAATTGACGAGAGGGAAGGCGAGATAGATAGAGAGAGAGAGAGAGAGAGGCACACATTGGGAGGGAAGTAAAGGAAAACGCGTAGGGAGAAGACGTGAGCGGGAGGTCGATTTTCGGAGCGCGAATCGACGGGACGATCGGTGAGCAGCGTCGTCGGATGTGCGAGCAGAGAGGTAAAGCACGTCGGTGCCGAGGAAATCTAGAGCGATCGAACGGTTCGCGCGTTCTCGGCCGAGAGGGAACGCCGGATAGGTTTCGCTTGACCGTTCGCTCTTCGAGCTGTTCTCTCGCGGATTTCAGACGCCGGTCGGAAATTCTCGCGAAAATTTGCGATCGTGTGACTGATCGACGCGAAGTAATTTGCCCGCTTCACGATGCGCTCGCCGTATTTTTTGCCGTTCCTTCCTCTCATCACGTTGTCACGTGTGATCGGAGGAGAATTCGCGATTAATCGGCGAGTAAGAATAAGACGACGGATTCGCGACGCCGCTGGCGTGTCTGCTTCTCCCGTCTCTTTATATCGTCGTCACACGTGTCATTCGCGTAGAGGAAGTTTCGGATACGATCGCTTGCGCGAGTAAGTCGTCGTTGTAAGGATTCGCGGCGCCGCTGTTCCTCCTTCCCGTGCTTATCATTTTCACGTGTGGCTCGTGTCAAACGGCGGATTTGCGCCGAGGAGATTTCACGGTCGACTCACGCGAATAAGTTGACGAATCTACGATGTCCCTTCGTTCTTTTCACTCGCGTCTTTCATCTCGGATCGTCGTTGTTTTTCCGCTGTCGCGCCAAACAACGTGCTTCCGCGTGAATTTTCTGCCGTTTGCCCTTCACGGCGTCCTTCTCCGCTTTAATTAGCCGAATTCGTCGCGAAAGATCTCAACATAAGTGTGTCACCCAATCCGGCGCGTGGCATAACAGCGGCACGCACGTTCCGTGATCAAATCCCGACCGCTGCCGCAGCTACCGCCGTTCGAATCTTTCACTGAAATCGGCCTCCGTTTCCAGCTGATTTGCTTAACAACTCTGACATTTCGTGCGTACGTCGGAACGCACCTCCCCCACGTGAAAACATGCGTCGGTGTGTCATCATCGCTCGTAGCCTTAGGCTCGCGAATTGCGAGACGCGATGGAAATCGGAACGTTGCGTTTTTCCCGCGGGAAGAAATTGCATTTTCGGCGGATACCGCGACCATCATCCCCATGAGCTAATGTTCCGATGTCACTCTAACCGACATAGATCAGGTGAAAGACGTTGCCGAGGAAAGTTATCGGGATTGTCGATGTTTGTTCAGATGAGTCCATTTCTCTTTTTTTCGTTGTTCAGAGAGAGAGAGAGAGAGAGAGAGAGAGAGAGACAGACGCGATTTAGAACTACTTTGAACGTATCCGCATTTCTCGGCGGGGGGCAATATTTCGGCTCTCTATTCGTATTTCGCTGAGACCGTCAAAATATCCCCCCGGACATTCCCGCGCGTCTTCACGTCCGGAAAATTCACGCCTTCCACGTCGCAGCGCGACGCGTCCCGTCGCCCGTATATTCTTACCGTTTCGTCCTAACGCGTACAGCGATAATAGCGTTTCCGCGATCGACTCTCGCCTTGACAGAGACAGACCGCGTGACGTATCGCTCGCGATGCGGCACCGAAAGCTAGGACGGAAATACCGACGACGGCGACGACGACGCTTCGTTCCTACGGCGCGGCCCTCGCGCCGCGCAGTCTGTCTTCGTCAGGGAGCTCTGCATCCGATATTCGCGCGTGTGTCACGTACGGACGTACGCGGGAGACGTCGGATTTTGCCGTGAACCTCGATAGTGAGGCCCCCGCGATACCGCCGAATTCCGTTTCTCCGCGCAAAACATGCGGCGGATTAGCCCGACGATAATTCTTGTCGCGAACTCGCACCGTCCGCGCGAGACGTCGTGCGGTTGTAGCGTATTCGAGACGCGCTGCTACCGAATTTCCTTTTTTCTTTCCCGCAAAACGATTCGAACTCTCATCGATCTATCGGCTTGACATTTGATAATGTTTCGGGAAATTTGTTCTATAATATTCTCCGTTGATCCCTGATCACGATAGCTTTTTAACTCCTTCCTCGCCTGACAAACATGTGAAAGAATATTATAATATATCAAATCGTTTTTAATAACATATATTTCTTTTATTTGCATATTGTGAAATCGAATTGTTTGTAGAGAAAGTAAGAGTAAAAGAGATTGATTAATTTGTTTGTTCCCGTTTTAAAGAGAATCTTTGAATAATGTGCGGTATTAAACAAAATCTCTAAAGTGAAATCAGAGTATTATCATTAAATATTGATCAATAGAGTCACTGGTAGTCATAAGTGTAGTACTGCAAATCAGAAAAATTTCGCCGAAGAATTTTGTTAATATCAGCGATTCTATCAATGAAATCTGACTGCAGGAACAATGAAAAGAGATAATATTTATTATTGTTTCTTTATTATTTTAATCATTTTTAAGGCGTTGTCAGTGATTTTACTTCTAAAATATTCTTAATTGATTTAATTTACATTGTGTTTGAAAAACACGCTTAGCCTGTTGGGAGTTAAGAGCTAAATCGAAGTGTTTCCAAAAATTAGCAAATATTTACAGATTGTCGCTGAAATACTGTTTTACTGATACAATCAATGACATTTTCACAGATTCGATTTAAAAGAAAACGAGTGCATTAAAAATATTAGAAAAAAAAAATATTTTTTTATATAAAGAGATAAAGAAAGAAGAGTTAGGAAAGGGATGGGGATTGGAGGAAAGAAGAACGAATTCGCAATTAATAAATCTCACGAAAAAATAATACTCGATGCGTATCGCGGGCGCGCTTCTTTCGGCAATACAGCCCTGCGCTCTAAGCAGCATAGACATTTGACGTTTCGCGAAGGTCGCGTGTTCACACACACACACACACACACGCGCGCGCGCACATACGCACACTCTTTCCCTCTCTACCGTTACGTCCGTGTCTCGCCCCCGTCTTTTTCTACCTTATTCTCCGTCTGCCTCGTGCACGCGTAACGCGCCGCGTACGCGTACATAAGCACGTCGCGGCGACATTTAACGATCGTTACGCATTCAATTGTTCACCGCCGCCGCCACTGCCGTCGCTGAGAAACCACGCGCGCGACTTTCCGACAATCGCGAACCGAAGCGAGTCGTAGACTCTCCTTCGGCGGCCGACGAGACTTTCCGCGGCGCGTTATCGGCGTACGTGACATTGAGGATCGCGCACGAGAGAGAGAGAGAGAGAGAGAGCTGCAAGTAACGTACACCGCGATGTTAAACCGCGCTATCGTAGATACCGCGACGTCGCGATGCGCCGCGTCGCGACGTTGATCAGCTGGCGTCGCTCTGTCTCTCTCACTCCTCCGACGCTGATGGCGCGCTCCGCCGTACGCGTAAAACCG